GGGCATTAGAGGGAGTTTCCCGTCGAAATTTCAACCTCACGAGGAAAACTGCTCGGAGAAGTTGGAGAACACAGAGAATTTGTCTCATGATTCGAAGCGAGTTCGTTGAGAGAAGCAACTTTACAGGTAGAGAAACCATTCATGAGAAGCTTAAATTATTTGTATTTTCCGATCCAGCTCATCGAAAGTCTTTTTAAGCACTGAACACTTAAATAATCGATTCTTTGCCATAGCTTCATATGGGAAAATATCGACAGTCGATCATTCACACCTCGCCACTGTGTGGTTTGTAGTTCTCAGAGTTTCACCGGAAAAAACGAAGAAATTACGTTAGTCTTCCCCCACCGTCGACTGACATTACATTCATTTTTTTAAAACTGACAGTTCATAGAGGAGGGCTTTTAGTGCAAGGAGAAAAACTTTTAAGAACTGTTTTTCTCAAATCGAATCGGAAACTAGGATTAGAGAGTATTCAGCGTGAAACACTGTTGTATTTCAAATAATAAGTCGAAATAAGCTGTTTTGCTTAGTTTGTCGCTGATGGTCGGCGTTACCTCATATCATGATTCGACAGTTCTCAACTCGTAACTTGGCATATTAACACTTCTGGTTAAATTTATAACGAATTCTGTTTTTGAACTTCAGACATAACATTCACAGACAAAGACCAGGTTTGGTTCGCGTCATTTCTAGGCATTTCTTGCGCCAAAATATTCGCTTAATACACGTTTATGGAATGGCTACAATGGTACCACGTATACCTGAATCCTTGAGTTTTTTTTTTCATCTTCATCGGCATTTCTTTCACTGCATTGGACAGTCACCGGCAACAAAAAAATAAAACCGATGGAAGAATGGTAAACGGAAAAGGCGAAAAAAGGTAATTGTGAAAAGTGTTGAAGTGCATAAATAGATGTAATACATAGGGAGGATATACGATAACGGCAGGACTCAAGTAAACATCCGCGTACCATAGTTAGCCTTGTGCTTTTGCCCTTCCCCCTCTCCTCCATATTGTCGCAAGTAAACTATACAGCAAGCTGTGGCGGCATAATTATATATAAGGACCAAAAAGAAATCTTCGAAGCATGAAATATCGCCGTTCTAAATTAGCGCAATTTTTTGCTCAGAGGAATACGTGAGAGAAAAAAAGATTTTTCCAGTTTTCCTTTTGTTCGCGTTACATAACTTTCCACCATGGTTGTTTTTCAAAATCCTGGTGCGATTTTTTGTTCATTTTCAGTAAAGCTCATTGGTCTTTCACGACCAAATTTGTCCAAAAAAATTACTCCTCAAAATCTATTATCCTCCTGACTGATACCAGCATGACACACGCAGTTGACTTTTTGTTCCAAGATACAGCCCGTGTTTAAAACTATCAAAACTGTGGGGTAGTATTCCAATCATCCCCTCTAATTATACCCTCGTTTCTTTGCTTCCGTGCTGCAGCGAGAAGCGCCTTCAAAGCGTTTCATATGCAGCTCAGATATCACGTGCTGCAGGAATTGTTGCATTCAAGCGTTATAATAAAAAGCGCCTTCACTATTTTCCATTTACCACCCGGGGCATCCGTAATGCAATAATAGTAACATCCAGATGCTGTGATGAGGAGCGTTTGACAATTATTCTTACCGATGCAGCTGGTATGTCGGCGGTGTAAGAATCGCATCCACGCGTTGTAGGAAGGAAGGGCGCCTCCAACTTTTAACTGATATAACACGAAAATCCGAGGGTGAACTAATAGTCGCATTCCGGCGTCGTAATTAGAAACTGCTTTAGATTTTAACGACTGTGCGCTGGGTCCACACTTTTTTGCGGGGAAAACAAGGCTAGAAAGTCCAAAAATTACGACCGGAGTTAAAAATTTTGAGCTCCAATGAAATTTGAGCCCTACTGAATTCTGAGCTGTAATGAATTTTGAGCTCTTTTTGACACTTATTGAAATTTTTCAACTTTTTGCCCGCAAAATAGTATGGACCTAGCACTATTTTACCACTTTGCTACATACAGTTCGGGTCGGATTTCTTAGTGATTTTCTCTTGTCTAGCTTTTAACTGATGCATTGTGATCATCTGTGGTCTGTGATGTTGAGAGTGTCGCACCCAGGGATTATAGGAACACGAAGCGCCTTCAATTCTTCGCTTATGTGATACAGACGTCCGTGATGCAACAATAATAGTCGCATTCAAGTGTTGTAACAAAAAGCGCCTTCAATTTCTTGCCTATGCAATACGAAACTCATGTCGCGCGTCGTTCAATTTACCAGCTTCCAGGATCGAATCAATGAGAGAGGTCGGATAAAAAATTTTTGACTACAACTGAAAATGTATATGTTCATTTCGTCATATTTTAAATTTCAAAGGGTGATTATGAACGAAAATTTCACGAGAAAACCAATGAAGCTACTTTGAGAACCTCAAAAATTGTATTAACGGAGTTATAAGCTCTTAAAGTTTCCAAATTTTGTCCGACTTCTCCCATGGACTTGGTCCAGTGTGCGACGGACTGCCTCCTCTAGTGCGTAAAATTTTGGCGATGAAGAGTTGCTCGCTGGAAGAAGATGGAACGGTCGAAAATACTGCACGTGTCTACGAGTGTGCAATCGCTCGGCATATCGTCCATCGGCCGCGGCAACCGGGGAAAATTTAAATTTCCAGATTCGGACGACGGTTGCCGAGATTCGAAGTTCCGCCCGAGGTGTGGGAGGGGCAGAGGATATGCCCAGCTGGTCATGCGTCTCGCGAGCCCCGGAGCATATCGACAGCTCCATTTCTAAAACACGTATCAGCATCGCCGCGTCGAAAAACCTCCGCAAATATCACCATAAAGAATGGAGATGTTGCATGTGTGAGGGATTTGCGATTTGACCATTGATTCTTGTGTAAAAGTTCGCAAGAAACACGATGGTGCCACTGGTTTTCTCTGAAATCATCTCCAAAGCTCAAAAAAAGCTCTCAAAGTGAAGCCAAAGGAGAGGATATCCCACCCTACCCTGAGAGTCCACCTCTACATCAAAACAAACTCTCCGTGCAAAGATAGGGAGCAAAATACATTAGCAGTGATGCCGTGTTTTCAGTTTTGGAGTCCTCAAATAAAGTGGCAACCCTGCCAATGTATTTGCTCCCCTACCTTTGCATGGATAGTTTGTTTTGATGTAGAGGTGGACTCTCAGGGTAGGGTGGGATATCCCCTCCATGTTGGCCTCACTTTGAGAGCTTTTTTTTCGCTTGGGAGATGATTTCAGAGAAAACCAGTGGCACCATCGTGTTTCTCGCGAACTTTTACATAAGAATGAATGGTCAAATCGCAAAGCATGTATTTTTCTATTTTTCTCTTCTTAGTCGTCAAGTTTTTTGGTCGATCGGTGGGAAGAAAATTTTAAAATGGAAGTAAGAACGGCATAATCAACACTTCTTTCATAATTTCTGTGCCAGACGCCACCAGAAAAAACGCGACCAGTAGGTGTGTCCCTTAGTATAGGAACGGAGATTCTGGAATGCCGCGTCGCAGATCTCATAAATCAAAATTTAACGGTGGATATGGCAGACACGCAGTCCGTCGTCTTTTTCTCCATTTGCATAAATCCGCAATCGTAACAAAAGTATGAATGAAATATTAATTTACCGGTGAACAATAAACAATATTATGTAATCCACGATTGCAACTTTCTAATTATTTATTCATTTTTCAATGCAAACTTTCAATATGATGGGCTCCGAAGGTATGCACAAGCCAATTGCAAACTTACCAAGATTGTGCAACTGTTGTGTTGTTTACGTTCTCCTCCGAAGAGACAAATTCACGCGCTGTGGTGAAACTTTCCTTCCCGCCGTATCTCTTTTTTTCATGCCAGCCCTCGGAAAGCAACTTCGATCCTCCCCCCCCCCCCCCCCCCNGATTAATAGAACACGCTTTTTTTAAGTTTAATTGGAAAACAAAAAACAAGGGGAAGGGAGGAATGCAGCGTTATTTCAGTGGCGTGGCGTGAATTGCGATGTATCGATTGCTATGCCATTTAAAACTATGGTAAAGAATCGATTATTAAGAAGTTCGCTGCGATTACCCTGTTAATCGATCCTTTCCATAGGTTTAAATGACAGGCCATCGATATGTCGCAAAGAACGTCACGCCACTGCGTTATTTATGTTCTTAGGAGTGCACGTACAGCGCAGAATCGCAACGTTACACAGGGTGAGAGTGTCTCGAAAAGTCAGGGGAAACCGGAAACGAGAGAAATTTTGGGAATTTTGCCCAACCCTGAGAAGTCGTGGAAAAGAAAGGGGCTTTTTCTGGGAAACCTCGAAATTTTTTCTCCACCTATGCAAAACATTGCATATTTTTAATTTCAAGATACTTTGCTTGACTTCAATTCGTCGTTTTTCTCACGATAGGACGTAACTACATTTTAATGCTGCCAAATTTCCCCTCGCAAATTGCGTTTTCGCGAGGAGAATATCGGACATTTCTAACTGAAAATTTCACGGATTTTTCCTCCGATTTCATGCAAATATCAGAAAAATTCCGGACAAAAATTGATCAGGAATATTCTTGTGAAAAATTGAACGGTTTAAGTTGATTTTGCAACTAATGGAGTTATGTTCCTTCGCAGGGTGGCAAAATTTCATGAAAAATAGAATCTTAAAAGTGCACGTGAAATATTTCGTGAAATTTTCGACATTTATGAAAGGATATTGAATAATACCGGTTCCTTTTTATACCTCGCAAATTGTAAACATCGCGATTCTCTTTTATTTTTGTGTGTTTGAGTGCGGGTTGCATACTCTAGCCCCTGAAAAATATGAAATATTTCACAGCATTGTAAAGTTTCATGAAATATTTCACTGAAATTTCCAATCTTTCATTTCTTTCTTACGTTTCATGCCACCATATTCCTTCGTCCGGGAAACAACACATTTTGGGGTCCCCCGTGACTCTGACTCTGTAGAACCGTTTCGCTTTTATATTGTTTTTGACGGTGGATATTTGTTTGTTTGTTGCAGAAGTGCAGTTTTTGTTTTCTAGTCAAGTGCCTTACACGTTGCAAGCGTTCTGGGGAGTCTCGATCCGCGAACTCCACTTGTTCCTGTGGCGGCCGTGGAACAAATTCAACGCCTCCCTCCAGCAAGGCGTCATGCTTCAGGGCCACTACCAACAAAGAAGTCGTGTCATACAGTATCCTTTAAACTCAATCTCACTCGCTCATTCACTCATTCGCCCGCTTCACTCCCCGCATTCACTCTCAGGGAACGTCAAGTTCCTGAATCTCACTCACAATCAGTAGAAATCAAGAGCATTATCCCATTACATGACCGTCAAAAGTTCCGGAATTTGGAACTTTTTTGTTTCAAAATCTCCCATGCTATCACCGAAAGTTCCGGAATTCTTTTTAGATTTTTTCAAAAGTCCCGAAGGCCGGCCATGTTGGCCTAGCGGTCAGCGCGTCCGACTCTAGACCAATAGGTCCCGGGTTCGAATTCCGGTGGTGGCGACAAATTTTCACGGAACTGACGTGTGGATCTGCAGAAACAGATTCTACTCGGCCTTAATCCCTGAAAATTTGAAAGCCGGAGCATGGATGTCCCTATCACCCTGCTGTCTAAGGACATTAAATCTCTGTCTATAGTTGGCTGTAGATCTCTGATAAGAGACGTAAGACATTAAACCTGCAAAAAAAGTTCCAAAAAATGCGAAAGATCCGGAACCTTTTGAGATTTTCAACAGTTCCGGGAAAAATTCAGGAAAATCTCAAAAGTTCCGCAATTCTAACTAGTTCCGGGAAAGGAGCACTGATTAGGAGTATCAATGCAATTAATGTGTAATTTACTGACAAATACGTCAACGCCCTTGGAGAAAAATCCCCGACTACCACAAAACTATTAATCGAAACATCGGCAGGATTAGCAGACATCGATTCCTCATGGGCACTCAGGAATTTCAGGTTAAAAAATAAAGTTTCAGGTTAACCAGGCAAAATCGTGAAAATATAACCGCCTCTTCATTTAGCCGATCCTAAGGAGCGCTCGTAAATTACGTAACGCTCTAGGGGGAGGAGGGTCGATGACAGCGTTGCGTAACCCTCTTCACTGGTAAAAAAAAAACACAAAATCCTAGATGTATCACCCTCATTCCTGGGGCGTTATTTGTCACATTGTAATTAAAACAGGGTGTCTAGCATCAGGAAAAATCAGAAAATATCAGGAATTTTGGCCGATCAGGAAAAAGTCAGGAAGATATCAGGATAATCGAAGAAATCAGACGTTTTATCAGGAATTTTTCTCACGCGAATCTCCTCAGCGGAGAAAGTCTTACTGCTTTTTGCCTACCGTACCAGGAGTCGAGAAAAATCAGGAAAATATCAAGAATTTTCAAAATGAAAAAATCAGGAATTTTCAATAAAATATCAGGAAAGTATCAGGATTTTTCAAAATTAAAAAATACTATACACCCTGTAAAAATACTCTAAATTGAATCCAGCTTATTATTCAACAGTTTCCCGCAACTTTTGGGATCTTGAAGGCGGGGGGGGGGGAGGAGGAG